ATAATAAAAAATTTAAATTAGTATTAAATAAAAATTATTAAAAAATTTTAATAAATTTATTATTAAATAAAAAGTTTAATTATTTATATATTTTAATAATAATTTTATTATAATTTCACTTTTTTTATATTTATTTTAGATTAATGATACTTATAATAAATTATTTAACTTAACATATATCATAACTATAATCAGCCTTGTAATAATTTAATTCCATAATAGGAGTAACTATCATAATTTCAGCCAGAATTAAAATAAAGTTATTTCAAAGTTTTAATTAAGAAAATCATTAGTAATTGTATTAAAAATTTTCAAAGATAGCTTTTATAAAGTAAGTTTAGTAACAGTTGCATTTTTACTAAGAAAAACTTAATAAAACAACTTTATAGCTTCAGTTTTACTAAGAAAACTTAGTAAAACAACTTTGTAACTTCAGTTTTACTAGGAAAACTATGTAAAACAACTCTACAGCTTCAGTATTAATAAAAAAACAACATTGCAGCTTCAATTTTACTAAGAAACTTAGTAAAACAACTTTGCGGCTTTAGTATTAATAAAGAAACTTGGTAAAATAAAATCTTGACTTCAGTTTTATTAAGAAAACTTAGTAATAACCGCTATTGTAGCTTTAGTTTACTAAGAAAACTTAGTCATAACTGCCATCATAGCTTCAGAACTATTTTAATAGTAAAAAACATTTCCAAAGTCTTGGAGGCATTTTTTACTATATTTTCTTAGTAAAAAATGTCTCACAAGACGCAGAGGCAATTTTTAACTATATTTTCTTAATAAAAGCATCTCCAAAGCTGCAGATGTGTTTTTACTATGTTTTACTTAGTAATAAAGCATTTCTGAAGCTGCGGAGACATTTTTTACTATATTTTACTTAGTAAAAAAGCATTTCCAAAGCTGCGAAGACGTTTTTTATTATGTTTACTTAGTAAAAAAGCATTTCCAAAGCCACAGAGGCGTCATTTACTATGTTTTACTTAGTAAAAAAAGCATTTCCAAAGCTGCAGAGACGTCATTTACTATTTTTTACTTAGTAAAAAAGCATTTCCAAAGCTGTAGAGGCATTTTTTACTATGTTTTACTTAGTAAAAAAAGCATTTCCAAAGCTGCAAAGGCATTTTTTACTATGTTTTACTTAGTAAAAAAGTATTTCCAAAGCCGCAGAGGCATTTTTTACTATGTTTTTCTTAGTAAATACCATCTCTGAAGCTTTAAAGATGGTTTACTATTGATTTGAATCAAATCAAGTCAAATATTTGAATACTTGATTTGAATTTGATCAAATCAAATCAAAGATTAATTTGGATTTGATCAAATAAATGATTCTTTAATTTGAATTTGATCAAATCTAATCAAAGATTAATTTGGATTTGATCAAATAAATGATTCTTTGATTTGAATTTGATCAAATCGAATTAAATATAAATTTGAATTTGTATTTGATTTGATTTTCAAATCAAATATTCGAATATCAAATCGAATTGCGGAATCCTAATAAATGCTGTTTTTTCCTTATCTTCTTCTGCAACTTCTACCTGCCAATATTCTGATGCGAGATCTATTAATGTGAACCATTTTGCTCCTTGGAGACTATCAATAATCTCATGAATAAGTGGTAGAGGATACTTATCCTTTTTTGTCACATCATTCAATTTTCTGTAATCCACGCAAAATCTTATTTTGCCATTTTTCTTTTTACAAGAACTACTGGTGAAGCTCACAGGCTATTAGATGGTCTAATGAATCCTCTTTCTAATCCATTATCAATCTCTTTCTTGATTATTTTATTTTCTGCTGGTGACATGTGGTAGACCCTTTGGCTTATTGGCGGTCCTTTTTCTGTGTAAATTTTGTATTTGAATGCATTTGTTTTGCCAATTTCTCCTTCTTTGGCTACTACATCTTCATATAATTGTAGTGTTTGCAGTAATTGCTCCTTCTGTTCGCCTTCAACTTCTCCAATTACTGTCTTTCTTCCTTCATTTATAGAAAGCGTTTGATCACTTTCTTCAATTTGGATTTTTGTGAATCTTTCTTCTTTTCTTTCTGTTGTAACAGTTATGTCTTCTAAAGGTATCTTAATAAGTTCACCTTCCTGATATACTGCTAGTATTTCCTCAGGTAATTCTGGATCTTCCAGTTCTAATCCAAAATCAGATTCTTTATCAGATTCTTCTTTTGGTTTTATTTTCTTCTCGAATCTGATCCTTTGCCAGCAAATTATGGACACGTTCTCATAAATAGGTTGTCTGTTGATGGATTCTCCTACTTGATAAAATAGCTTCTTTTGATAGAAATCTATTTTTGCATTTACTTGTACAACCCATTCATTTCCTAAAATCACTGAGTAGGCTTCAAGTCCATAACCGCAACTTCAATTTTCCAAATTGTTGTATTTATTTTGATTGAAAGTTAATAGATGACTCCTAATGGTGTTGTAATTTTTCCACTTATTTCAATTAGGGTTCTGTCTGGCGGTCTATCAATCTCCAGTCCAATTTCGTCTAAGAAGCTTTTTAATATGGCGTTCTTTACTGCGCCTGTGTCGATCATTATGTTTGTTTTTCTTTCAGCCACTTTCGCTTCCATGAACAGTGCGTCCTTAGGTGATTGTTGTTGTGTTATTGCACTAGGTTATTCTTCTTCTTGTAGATTATTTTGTGGAATAATTCTTAGACATTTCTTGGTCAATTCTCCAATTGGATCCAATTTGCTCAAGATTTTGTGTGCAAATTTCACATATTTTGGAGTTATCTATTCATTTTCTATCAGATTCAGATATCTTTCTTGGTCTATAGACCTTTATGGACTAGCTTTATTTCTTCCATCCACATCGGTATTTTTTCCTTCTTTAATTTGTTAATGTATACGTTATAGTTATATACAGGATCATTGAATATTTTCCTGATCCTTTTCAATGGAAGTTCTATTCCCGCTTCTTCAGAGGTTTCCCTTAAGCATGCTTTGGCTGATCCTTCAAACAGTTCTACTTTTTCATATACGGTTTGCCAGAGTCCAGCCATTACCTTGGCATTCTCGCTTCTTTTTGATACCAAAATTCTGTCCTGACAGTGATACAGTACATTAAGAATATATTTTGGAGGTTTCAGTTGTTCTGCACTCTCACCTCCTAAAGGTGCAGTTGATCTTTTAAATTCTCATTGAGCAATTCAAGGCAATCCTTCAACATATTCGCTAACTTTCTTTGTTCTTCTTTGGTTTGTCTGAATACGTATGCATTCTTGATGGTTCCCTATTATTGGATTCTTCCTGGCTTACATTCGTCCTATAAGTCTATTTATTTCGGGTTCTTTTCCTCTGTTCTCTGGAAATCTCATATGCTTTAAGCACTTTGTGAAAATATGCCTTTCTTCTCCGCAGTTATAGCATTTCACAGTCTTTTCAGGTCTTTTGCAATCCCTTGCGAGATGACCAGTCTCCTGACAATTGTAGTACTGTTTTGCAGGACAATCTCTTGCCCAATGACCACTCTTTTCACATTTCAGACAAGACCCATTTGGTACGATATTTGGGATTCCTTTCTCTTGTTGAAGAACCCTCTTGATTGTTTCTTCAATTGTTTCTTCTTTATTTAGAAATCCTCTTTCTTTCTTCTTCTCTGGATGGTAACTAGGTTCAATTTCTTTCCAATTACTTCCATTCTTATATTTTTGGCTATTTCCATTGCTTTAGCTTTTTCAATAGCTTGTCTGATTGTCATGGGCATACTTCCTTGTACAGCTTCAATATATTCTGATAGCAGTCCTCTTACAAAATCCATGATTTTGTCTGCCTCAGCTTTTCATTTCAGAGGATCCACCCTTCTCCATAACTCCCTTAACTTGGCTGTGTATTGTGTGATTGTTTCATTCTTTTGTTATTTTAGGTTTCTCGACTCTTAATCCCACTGAGTCTTTCAGTATATGCTGCAATATTCATTTATGAAGAGGTTCACGAAGGATTTGTTTCCTTTATCCAATCGATTCCAATACTTCACATTCTGCGAATTGAACCAAGTATGAGCTTTTCCTTTGAGATAAGAATTCACTATCTTTAGCATCTGATTCTCTTCCACGCCATTTGCTATGCATACTCCTTTGAACGCTTTCAACTATGCAACTGGATCTTGTAATTCTCCTTTAAATGTTGGAAAGTCCACAAGTCTAGTTTCCCTAATTCGAGGTTCAGTTTTCCTTGTAACTTTCATACTTTTAGTAAATTCTTTGAAGAATTATTTCTTGAGTCCCTTTATGTTTACCTCCTCTTCCTCATCCTTCACTTCATCAATTACGCTAGTCTTCTTTGAAGTGTATGAATGTTCACTTCTTTCAGAAATATTCAATCCTTCATGTTGATCTTATGATATATTTTCTAGAGGTAGTGGTATGTCAATTAGGTTCTTTAGCACTTGTTGTGAACCTAATATTCCTTCTACTCCTGATGCTTCCTGGTATTTGTCTAGTTCTTCAGGTCCTTTGCCTTTTCTGAATCCTCCTGTCTTTTCAAATTCAGAGAGTAATCTTTCATAAAGTCCTTCAAGTTTGGTTTCTTTCGTGTAGATTACACTATATATCACTTCTTTCAGTTAGTTCTTAACTTCTCTTGGACGACTATTCGTCATGGCTTATTTCAAAAGCCATGCTGTTGCTCCAGTATACCGATTAATGTGTACTTGTCCTCTGAGCCAAGTGATTGCTCTTTGGGTTTCAGCAGTTTCCTGGTCTTCTTTTATTGGATAGCATTTCTCACAACTATAGTTAATATGGGGCCTTTGCAATAGAAAGGGGGGAAACAGCCGGGAAAAATTAATTTTACTTTATATGCCAAATATGATT